TTTTTTTTGCTCATAAGGCCTTTTTCAATTCCTGTGTTCTTTTGTGAGTATTTAAGTCCAAACAAGTTTGAGAATGTTAAGGATGATATGTTCATCATACTTGTTGTTTATATTGTTGTTAGGTTAAACGTTGGGGTAGAACCTACTTGGTATCAAGGGCCAGATTATTTTGAAAAAATTGAGGGTGTCAGGAATTTGCTTTCTACCGAGGTAAGTAATTGTTTTTTAGAATTAAATCTCAATACTCGAATGTAGTAGTTCAAAAAATTAATATAATTATAATTTATGTAGTATATCGATCCGTTTTTGGACGTGCTTTCTCGGAGGTTGTACAGTGGGGTCAAATTGAAGTCGGGAGTATCTCTCTCAACAATTAACATTGAGGATTCCGCTCTATTTGTAATTGCTCTTTCCACTAATTATATTTTTTCTTAAATAATTTATATTTTGTTAAATGATGCATGTTGATCCTTACTACTTATTTCATGGCTTGTTGTCGAATCAATGGAAAGTGCTTCATCCCGACGATCCTCAATGTACGCAGAGCTATCCAGACGACGCAAATTATGAGAGATGAAATGTTCCTCCGAGTATGGTCAATTATGTTCGTGGTACTGCTCTTCGTTGGAGATCTCCTTGGCATACATATTCCAATGTAAGTTTTTTTTTTTTTTGTTCTTAATAAAACCATGTTGCTTTAACAAAAAAATTGGCTATTTAATGTTGTGTTAATTATTGGTAAATTATGCTGGATGGTATGAAATGTACTTGTAACATTTGTAACATTTATAACATTGTTTTACCATGCAATTATTGATCAACTTTAGAGCCTAAAGTTCAGTTTGTAAAGCCTTTAGTTGTTGTAGGAATTTGAGAAAAGAAAGGGAAGAGAAAAGCATGTTTTGTTGTATGAATTAGATGCTTATCTTGTAGAAAAGACATGAAGACATGACTATTATTTACTGTATATAGCTGATATATGAGGAAAAAATCTTCAAAAGGAACAAAAGTGAAGGTGAGAAAAATGAACAGAACTGCATGAGTAAAAGAAAAAGGTTCCTAAATCCAGGTGGAAATATTCTGATGCTAAAGATGTGTGATAATTTGAATTAATGTATTAATATAATCTTGTAAAATACAAATGATAGTCATAATAATTTCTTTAAGAGATATAGAAATATATTAATATTATTTTGCAGAATTGTGTCAATAGAGTAGTAACTACTGCAATTGTTTGATTAAAAATTATATACAATCACAATTATGCATAAAATTTATGGCCAAATTTAAGCAATCATACTTCTTTGACAAAAATGTATATTTGCAGTATAAAATTTTGTGAAGATGGTGTCTGAGGCTATAAACGATGTTTTCCCTCTCATAGTTGAGGGAATTGAGAGAAATCTGAAGGGGCACTGGAGCAGAAGTGTTGGATATTTCTCTACTTTTATGAGGCTTCATTTCATATTGGCAGAGGCATGTACATGTAAAGATGATCATTTATTCCAAATGGGGTGTTTTTAATCATCATTGACCGGGTTAGTTTATAGTAAGGATGTTTTTGTAGTGTGACCAATTTTGTTATTTTTTTGCCACTTTTGGTTGATGGTTTTGGGTTTGAATATCCATTGTTGATGATGTAAACTCGATATTACTCTTGAACTTTGTATATTGGTTCTTTCGATTTTGCCTCTTTTGGTTGTTAGTTTTGGGTTTGAATATCCCTTGATGTTACCCTTGAACTTTGTATATTGGTTCTTTCGATTTAATGACAATTCTATTTAACGTATCGGATAAAATACATATGGTATTTGATACTTATTGGGAAATACTACAAAAACAATTCCAGATAATTATATAAAAAGTTTTCATATGACAAACTTCCTAAACGCATAAAGTTAATCTATGCCTGTCCATTTTTATAAACATTCTCATCCCAAAATCCGCTATGCACAATTCGAACTTTTTCAAACATATGTAAAACAAAGATGCAAAAGTATTTTACGGACAAACAATTTCAAATAATTATATAAGAATAGCAGAATCAATGTTTTTAATAAAACAAACAAATTTTGAACAAAATCGATTTTTGAAATTACTCAAATGAATAAAACAAATAAAATTTGAACCAAAAATAATTTTTGAAATTACTCAAATGGTTTATACGATTCGAAAACCGTTTTTGGGATGTATCTACTGTTTTGGGATCCAATAAACCATGTTGGGGATTCAAAATAGGTTTTTGGGACTAGAAATCGATTTTTGGGTCCCGAAGAAATCGATTTCAGGGATTTCTGAACTAGTAATCGATTTCTGGGTCCAGAAATGACATAATCCAGAAATCGATTTTTGACACAGAAATCTGATTTCTGGGAGCTAAAAACCAATTTCTGGGAACAAAAAACGTTTCTGAGTATAGAAATCAATTTCTGGATCATCTCGTTTCTAGTCCCAGAAATCGATTTCTGGACCCAGAAATCAATTTCTGGACCTAGAAATCAATATCTGACCTAGAAATCAAATTAATAACATGAATATTGCAAAAAAATAAAAATTAATTTCTTGGAACATTTAATGATTTCTGGACTAGGAATCGATTTCTGGGTCAGAAATCAATTTCTGGACCTAGAAATCAATTTCTTACCCAGATATAGAAATCAATTTCTTACCCAGAAATCGGTTTCTTACCTAGAAATAGAAATCGATTTCCTACCCAGAAATCAGATTATCGGTTTCTTACCTAGAAATAGAAATCGATTTCTTACCCAAAAATTTCTGGGTAAGAAATCGATTTCTATTTCTGGGTAAGAAATAGATTTCTAGGCCCAGAAATTGATTTTTGACCCAGAAATCGGTTTCTTACCTAGAAATAGAAATCGATTTCTTACCCAAAAATCAATTTCTGACCCAGAAATCTGATTTCTGGGGCTAAAAATCAATTTCTGGGAACAGAAATCGATTTCTGGGTAAGAGAGAAGAGAGAGATTATTTTTTTTAAAAAAAATGGTAGTAAGGGTATTTTTGACATTTTAAGTGCCAAAATGGCTAAAAAAGAGGTTTTTTTAAATATGTGGCTAAAATTTGTGTTTTACAAATCTAAATGGCTAAAAAAAAAATTTACTGAATAATAATTGTATAAATTTGGTGATATAAATAAAAATAACAGAACTAACAAAAAAAAATAAAAATCATGCATATAATTATTGGGATTTGTGGTTTTTTTTTTTTTTCTAATATACACTTTTACTTTATTAATAAATAAATAAATCCACATATACAAATTGTATGGTTGTTGAATGGATGCATTGGAGGTAACAATTCAAATGAAAGTCTTATTCTTTTAACATTCAATTCATGTAGATTAAACATTATTTCATTGATTGACATGTGTTCAAATTTATTTAATGTTGAAAGTTGAGCATTGGAGATGCTCTTATAAATAATGAATACTGTGGCTCAACTCGATTTGCTTCAAAACACTGCGACGACAGCGATGAGTTGATTTCTAATCGACGAGAATGAAGGAACAACGTTCGATTTTTATTAACTTCTTCTATTATAAAATTGAATAGGTACATATGTACATATATAAAGAAAACTAGATTTAGTCCAATGCGAACTTTAATCTAGAAAAAATATATCTAATCTTAAGGTAACTAAGTATCTTACATTCTAATAGTTACCAAATAATTAAATCTCCTAACCCTAAATAAACTCACGGCTAAATATAAATATCCTAACAAAACCTATGCTATGATAATCATATAATTTTCCTATCAATAAAAACTACTAACCTATCCACTCGTGAATAATATATCTAACAATTTAATATTTACTAACTAATAAATCTAACTAAATATATCGTAACCAAACTAACAATTAAACAAATACTAATCTGACTACTAACTAATTAAATACTAATTAATCTATCTTCTAGAATCTTCATGACTATTGCTTCTCAAGTCACGCCGGGTTCGTGTTTGAACCTCATGTCACGCGTGCACCGCGCGCGATCTTCGGGCGTGCGTCCTCGTATTTGAGCTCTTACTCATCTTTTCTGCCAAGTGTACACTCTTTCGCCTCTTCACGCGGCCTCATCCAATCTCTTCGGCTCTCGTCTCTTCTCATCTCACAATATGATCATTTTTTTGAGTGTTTTTCACACGAATTCATGTGAGTGAGACTATAAAACAAGAGAGATGTTACGGTCCCGTTACAGAACAATTTTGTCGGAGTTTGTAATCGTTTAGATCAACTATCCCCGATGGTTACATGATAATCTAACGGTTATAAATCCCGACGGAATGGTTCCGTAACGGAACCGTAGCATTTCTCATAAAACCATTAAGCGAGGCCACTCACATCATGTTTAGAAAAATAAACTGTACCTTATCAAATAACATATTTTTGTTTATGTTGTTCTAAAATAAAATCAAAGTCTAAAAGCTTTTTTGTTTGAGCTTGTGCATATTTAATAAATGAAGCTAAAGCTTGTCTGGGTTGTATTTGGTGTTTCAATGATAATGTAACATAAAAATACACATGAAATTGGAATTCATCTTCTATTATTTTATAACAAGTCTTACTTTGATCGTCTTTGATCACTCGAAGGGTCATTTGAGCCTTATTTGAAACCCATATTGGTGTATCCGCATTATCCAGCGGGCCTTAAGGCCCATGACGGGTCAGTTTAGTTGGATCTTAGAGGATGTAATATTTAAAGCCCAACTTTAAGCTATATTGAATGATTTGAAATTTATAAATTTTAAATTTACAAGTTCAAATTCTCATGCATATTACAATGGTAATGGAAGTTGGAGGATTTCAAATTCATACTACATATTTTTTAGTTGAAGAGTTTTAAATGACTGCTCAAACCTAGTCATTTGAAATTCACAGTTTATCACCGTTGACAACCACACCATTTGCGATCATTTAAGTTCATCACTACCGCGAGTCAACACTATCGATGGCGAGCTAGACAATTAATTTATATTTATTGCATGTTAACTATGGTCATCGTAGATAACAAAAAAATACGATTATTCATTTTTTTAAAGCTTTCTTCCTAATCTATTTTCTTTCGCTTTGGCGTGAATGTCTATACCACATCGTAAAGAACCAAGTTTATGAATATGGCATTGTACGTAGTATGTGTAACATATTGTAGGTTAGCTCTCCTACTCATGGTGGACTAATGTGGATAAGTAGATGTGAGTGAATCAAAGATAAATATATATAGAGTTCGAAAAAACACATGAATTTAGAAATGGCCATTTCAATGAATTTGGAAGTCTGAAAAACAAGAAACATGAATCCACACAGATTTATTGAATCAAGTAACCATGTGCAGCAAATCAGTGTTTGCAGCTGGTACTACTTTCACCTGATAATATATATTGACAGTTTAATTTGATCCACATGAAAAAGGTAAGAAAACGAACAAAACAAAATTAAAAAAAAAAAAAGTGTTGAATTTTTTTTTGGTACAGGGACCTTCCGGTTTCTGGATCCATAAGGGAACCGACATTTAATCGCATTTAAAACCAACATTTACAAAAGAAGGCAAAAAAGAGAGCAAAGCAAACACATACAATCGGTCAGACAAATTTATTCAACTGAAGAACAAATTCAAACTCTGGTACAAAATACAATAATAACACAACCAACTTTTTCTCTTTAATTGTACACAGATATATATATATATATATTCTCAATATCCCACTTACATAAAAATGGTGATGAATTGAAGCCCCACCAAAATCCCACATATATTAATATTCACATATTCCAGATCCAAAGTAAATTGCCAAAACTTGTTCCACATTTCCAAAAAAAAATCCTATATTTTTTATATCACTCAATTTGCCAAAAACAAAGAAAAAAAAAATAAAATAAAAATTAATATAGAAACTCCATTTTAACCATCCCACACTAAATCGCATACGACCGATTGCAGACCGTCTCAAGCGCCTCATTCATCAGGCCCGAGAAGCTCATCATGGCCTGGAAAACCCCCGGCAGGCCCGTTTGAATATTATTCAACGTCATGGCCCGAGTAACTTCAACTGCCTTTGCATGCCTCTGCATTTCATCCTCTACCCGCCTTTCACACACCGCCAGCTCAGCCTTCTTATCCGCAAGTGGGTCTCGAGCATCCAGGCCCGCCCCACCATTGGGCCCATCATCCGGAAGCCCAATCCCCACCATGGAGTACGAATGATAGTATTTCTTCTCGATACTCCTCAAAGAAGATGCTTTCTTCTCGAGCTCCTTGGACGAGCTTTCAGTCCTTTTCTTGATTTTAATCTCCTCCGTCTGCTTTAAAGAAATCGAGTGAACAACATTAATGAAGCTCTTGATGGCCTCAGAGGCCACAGTGTCGGGGACCCGATCGAGAGCGAGTTTCCATTCGTCACAAAAGGCAAACGAGTTCGAAATCGGGTCTTTATTATTATTGTTCTCGTTTTGTTGTTGTTGATCGTTATTGAGGGGGATGAGTGTGCGTTTGAACCAGGCATGGAGGGATCGAATGAAATCGCGCTGGAATTTGACGAGTCGGCAAAAGGCGGAGTGCCAAGCAGAGACAGCAGACTCGAGGTCTCGAGTGGCCTGCCGGTGGAGATCGGAAGTGGATTGGGCCTTGTTCGCCTGGTGGACCAGCCCACGAACCTGCTGGACCACGTCATTCTGGTCTTGGTGGAACTGGTTCATCGATCGCCACATGTACATGAACCTGTAATTTTATTTTTTTCCTCATTCATTAGTAAAATTATGAATATCTATTGTTTGTTTCGAATTCTGCAAAGAGGAAACGAGTATCCGGTGTTTGTAGTCCTATAATTCTTCTTTTATCTCTTATAATAAAGATTAATGCTATTTTCAGTAAAAACTGAAACTTTTTTGCAAGACCAGGAGGGCAACATCATCATATAATTAAAAGGCTCGTATAATCTACGTGATGAATGATGATGTCATGCAGGGATTCTTGTCGAAATACTTTCCAATGGGTGGTACTTTCATTTCATCTTTTACCACTTTTTTTCACAGTGAACGAATGTTACAATTTCGAGTAAGAACTGATAGGCCATATAGTAAAACAAGGGAAATTTCGAAAATTTTGTTTGGGTTTCAATAGCTTTATATGATGGATGGCACAGATTTGAAGCAAAGCTTACGCGGGCCGTGCCGCAAATCATTGCCATATAGTTATTACAACTGTGAGTTGCCTATCAAGTAAGCAAGGATGAAAAGCCTGCTAAGCGGGGACCATGACCCAATAAAAGGTCGGTGAAAAAATCGACAGGCTCTGAAGATAGCAGGACACAATTTCTTTGCAGGTTGGACTAAGGAAAGATAGTACAAACAAGACATCATAAAAGTTCCAACTACCAAGCAAACATGGCAGCAAATGCACTTTTGCATGTTTTACACAAGGCAGATACTAAACAATCAAAAGGGAATCACTTACTTGACCAGTTCTGGATATTACTAATGGCCCGAATAATTACAGAACATACCCTTGAGTATGTTCGTAATTTTAAAAGAAACTCAACCCCTACACATAGTGTTTGTTTTATAGGAAATATACTGAAATACCTAAACGGATGTTCGTAATTTTAAAAGATGAGATTTTTTTAAAAAAATTCAAGAAGAAGAAGAAGAAGAAGTAGAACTAAACCTATATATTTTGTAGCCTAATGTTGATATACTCTAAGGTAATAACATGAGCAGACATACAATGTACCTTCACAGACTAGACAGGAAAATTAATGTTTCAAGTTTGCATGATATGAATATCAATTCCAATAAAATCGACGATTAGTAATTCAACACCGGCAAAGGAGATTAGTACATTACCCATGACAAAGCTCGACAAGCTGTGGGACCAGGTCTGAATCTCTGAGGCCGATAATAGCAGAGGAAGTAGTTGAAACAGCTTGAGATGTCACCATAATCAGAGATTGAAGCCTTTTTATTGCTGTCTTTGTCTTGTCCAGCTTGGCCTCATCTTCACCCTTATACTCCTGGCTTTGGAGAGAAGACAGTTTCTTCTCGTGCTCGATTTTTACTCCCTCTCTAGCCTAAGAAAATCGATTATCATCACAAACAAGCATGTATCGATATTCAACAATAAACGAAAAATTGGAAAGTTTAGTTTGAGTTTTCAAATGACATACATTCTCATAGAACACCAAGACCAAAAACATATTTTGCCAAAAAAATAGAAAATACTACAGAAGAAGGGACTCACTAATAGTGCCTTAATTAACCTCTACGGTGAATTATTACAAAATTGGACATGATAGTAATATTTCAATTTTGTACTTATATGATTCATTGATGACAGGCATACATCAGCTGGAAGGCAAGTAAGTTTGTTAGAAGGCAGACCCACCACCATGTTCCAAGTTGACAAAACAAACCTAAGATAAATTCCAGAGTGTCCTTTGTCACACACCACAAAAGCAGTCACTCGGGGCCATTTTAGTCATTCCACATAAACAAACTTCCGGTAAGTACTATTAGCGCATATCAGATAATCTTGAGCCATTAACATAACCACATCACTACCACCTAACTAAAAGACACATGTGCCCCATATAAATAAAATCATACCTCAAAGTTCCATCATCTTTTCTGATCGAAAATACAACGAATATTATTACTTTTTATGCAATTGTCAACTATGGCGTCTAAGCAAAGCCAAAAATAATGCACTAAACAGAAGAACAGTACATGAGCCTTAAGAGGGAAAATACTAATAATTTAATCAGGTAGACAATTACCTTTTTTTATTTTTTTTTTTTTTGAAAAGGAG